GCTCAGCATAACACCCTCAAGGTCCATCCATGTTGCTACACATGGCCAGATTTCATTGTTTCTCATTGCCATGTAGTATTCCATGGTATAGATAAACCACATCTTCTTGATCCATTCGTCTGTTGATGGACACTTAGGCTCTTTCCATGTTTTAGCTATTGTTGAGAGTGCTGCTATGAACATTGGGGTACATGTGCTCCTATGCCCCAGCATTTCTGTATCCCTTGGGTAAATTCCTAGCAGTGCTATTGCTGGGTCATAAGGGGAGAGAGAGAGATTCTTAAGCAGGCTCCACACTCAGCACGGAACCTGACACAGAGCTCGATCCCGCAACTCTGGAATCATGACCTGAGCCGAATTCAAGAGTCAGGCGCTTAACTGACTGAGCCACCCAGGTGCACCTCCCCCTTCAATAATAGTTTAATTAAGATACAATTCATGTTTCATACAGTTCACCTATTTAAAGTATACAGTTCAATGGCTTTTTGTTTTTAAGTAAACTCCACCCCTAGCATGGAGCCCAATGCGGGGCTTGAACTCACGACCCTGAAATCAAGGCCTGAGCTGAGATCCAAAGTCAGATGTCTAATCGACTGAGCCACCCAGGCGCCCCTCAAGTTTTTATTCAGACTTCTACAACCATCATCACAGTCAATTTCAAAATCTTTCATCACTCCTCCAAAACCCCCATTCCATCGACTGATAGCCAGCTACTTTCTTTTCCCTGCCAGCCTCTCGCAACTGCTAATCTACTTCCTGTCTCTGTAGATCTCTGCAGATGTTTACCTGTTCTGGCTGTTTCCTGGAATCATTATGTGGTGCCTTTTGATATTAGACAAAGTTGCCTGCTTTTGGCTAATATAACCCAGGGCCCCATGCCTGGGCAGGTGGATGGGTCTGTGCAAGGCAGAAAAAGCCCCCCTTCTCCTCTGGGCTGGTGGAGGAAGTGCTGGGGGCATGAGCTCCTCACCTGCCTCAATCCTGGGGAGATGGACCTGTGGCTAGCTGGGCAGGGGCCTCCCTGGGAAAGGGGTGGTCCCTGGGCCCGAGCCCTGGACGGCCACTTAGACCAGAACCTCTTTTCCCACTCTGAGGCTTAGTTGTCTTAGAAGCAAAATGGGCACAGCAGTAGCAAACTTCTCACGTAACATAGCGTGGATTGTTGGCTGTCATGCTATCTACCATGAGAACGAGAAAGCTTCACCAGTGAAAACCAGGGCACACCATTGATCGTGAGCTGGATCTTAGTTTCAAAGGTGTTAACATGTGCCAAAAAAGTTTTTGGAATTAGTGCTCTTAATCTAACACACATTGGCCAGACCAGGGTTAGTTTGAAGGTCACACCCAAGAGGCCAACAGAGAAGTTACAATAAACCTTCATGGGTGGGTGACTCCCTGGTCGTGGCCTTAGCCTGGGTGGTGGTGGTGGAATAATATAATGATAGGAGCAGCTGCTGTGAGTTGAGGTTGTCCCCTGGACCAGGTGTCATTCAGGGTCCTCTCTGTAGACTTTCTCATTGAGTCCTCACAGTGACCCGAGGAGGTTGGTGCTGTCACTAGAATGTGACCTCGGTGAAGGAAGGGACGTTGTCTGGTGCCCTGGGGTGTCCCCAGTGTCTACAACAGGGCCTGGCCTGGGCCGAGGCCTCAGTAAACACTTACTGGGTGTATTATCGTAAATTTACAGATGAGGAAACTGAGACACCAAGCGTTAACCTCCCATTGTCTCTTGGCCCGGAAGTAGCAGAGCCAGAATTTCAACCCAAGCTCCAAAGCCTCTGCTTGCTGCTTCTGCGGTGAGGAGAGGGCTTTATTGACGCTCCCGGGCCGGCTCTGTGTCCCTTCTTCCCGTTCACCTGTGGATCCCATCACTCCCTGGAGCTGGGCCTGTCGATGGGGATCAGGGTGGAGAACGCAGAGTCCCAGCTCCCTGAAATGGGGCACTGGCCAAGCGTCCCGGGGCAGGGCAGAGCCGTAAGGAGGAGGGCGGTACAGCGCAGGCGGGGAACTCCATTTCCTGTTAGCAGTGTGGCCCGAGGCTGGCTGCCCCAACCTCGCCCTGCCTCAGGGTCCTCATTGGCAACATGTGGGTGTCCCAGTGCCGCTCAGCTCCTGGCTATCTCAGGCTTAGTTCCACTTGTCTGCGTGAAGCGCTCAGCCGGGGCCTGGCAGGCGGTGAGCATTTAATTTGTGGGAGGCGCTGCCCGCTGTGGCTGCTGCTCTCTCGACAGAACAGTGGGAGTAATGAGCCCTGTCCACCCCCCAGCCACTTCCGAGTGGATCCAGTTCTTTAAGGAAGCCGGCATTCCTCCCGGGCCTGCTGTCAATTACGCAGTGATGTTTGTGGATAACAGGTAAGGAGGGCCGAGGGGACAGGGGACGGAGCTGACCCTGGAGGGAGGCGGGGAGGGATGCGGGGAGCCAGGAGCTGGCTGGCCCTTCCTGGCACGCTGGTGGCCTCAGCACTCATCCCCCCCACCTCCCCCCCGCAGGATCCAGAAGAGCATGCTGCTGGACCTCAACAAGGAGATCATGAATGAGTTGGGTGTGACCGTGGTGGGCGACATCATCGCCATCCTCAAGCATGCCAAGGTGGTGCACCGCCAGGTGGGTGTCCTGCCCCGCCCCCGGATCCCTGGGTGTACAGCGCGGCGGCCTGAGTTCCAAGGCTGGCCACGCTGTTGTGTGGTGCCAGGCATGTCACCTAACCTCTCTGAGCCTTTCTTTCTCCATTTGTAACATTACAAAAAAAAAAAAAGCTTATTTTTGAGAAAGAAGAAAGAGTGCTCGTGCAGGAGGATGGGCCGTGAGAAAGGGGGCCAGAGGATCTGAAGCCGGCTCTGTGCTGACAGTGGAGAGCCCAGTGCGGGGCTCGAACTCATGAACTACGAGATCATGACCTGAGCCTACGTCGGATACCTAAGCGACTGAGCCACTCAGGCACCTCTCTCTCCATTTGTAGAATGCAGATAGGCAGGCCTGTCTTGCAAAGTGGTTGTATTAAGTTACATAAAACCCCGGTATGGTGTCAGCAGTAGGGCCTCGGTGAAGGCTCTCTGGTACCGTCACTAGTGCTCGTCTTCCTCGTGATCATCCTCATCATTAGCAGGCTTTTTGTCTGTCCCCAGGACAGGAGCACCCCACATAGGACCCAGTTGCTGACTTGGCCAACAACATGGCCGTTCCGTTCATGGCCCTTCCACTTACGGTGACCCTAGACTAGTGATCTTTACGTCCCTGAAAGATCTGAAACAGGCTTTTCACATACAACTGCTGCATAGGGTTAGCTGTGGCCACCTACCAGGTAGCGTATGTGGCACCTGGGAATGAAGGGCTTGTTGAGTTGTTGTTTTTCTTTTTTAATGTTCATTTTATTTTTGGAGATCAGGGGAGGAGCAGAGAGGGAGACACAATCCGAAGCAGGCTCCAGGCTCCGAGCTGTCAGCACAGAGCCCGATGTGAGGCTTGAACTCACAGACTGTGAGATCATGACCTGAACTGAAGTCAGACGCTTAGCCGACTGAGCCACCCAGGCACCCTGTGAGCTGGTTGAGTTTTGATAGCTGACATTGGCTGAGCGCTTACTGTAGCCTGCCAGGTGCTGTCTCCATCCTATATACATTTATAAGTTTTTTTTAATGTTTATTTTTGAGAGAGAGACACAGAGTGCAAGCAGGGGAGGGGCAGAGAGAGAGGAGACAGAATCTGAAGCAGGCTTCAGCCTCTCAGCTGTCCGCACAGAGCCCGATGTAGGGCTCGAACCCACGAACCGTGAGATCATGACCTGAGCCGAAGTCGGACGCTTAACTGACTGAGCCGCCCAGGCGCCCCATCCTTCATACATTTTAACTCATCTAGTGCTCACTGCACTTGACTGAGAAGGAAGCTCGCTCCAGAGCGGTGCCCTCAGTCCCTCCACTTTACCAAATGGTAGCTGCTTTCCCCACCCAGGGCCAGGCCTTCACCTGTCCATCATCCAGCTGGGCCCCTGCAGAGAGGGCTTCCTCAAGTCAGGGACATTACCTGAGTTGTCACAGAGAAGGTCACTGAACAACGCTTTTTTTTTCCTTGAAACTTTTTTTTTTTTTAATGTTTTATTTATTTCTGAGAGAGGAAGACAGCACAAGCAGGGGAGGGTCAGAGAGAGAGGGAGACACAGAATCCGAAACAGGCTTCAGGCTCTGAGCTGTCAGCACAGAGCCGGACACGGGGCTTGAACCCACGAACCGTGAGATCATGACCTGAGCCGAAGTCAGAGGCTCAACCGACTGAGCCACCCAGGTACCCCTCCTTGAAACTTTTAAATTTGGGAACGATTTTAGATTTACAGAAAAGTTCCAACAGCAGTACAGAAAGCTTCTGTAGCCATTTGTAGCCATGGTACGTTTGTCAAAATTAAGAAATTAGTATGAGGACACTCCTATCAACTAAAACACAGACTATCTGGATCTTATCAGTTCTCCTATTAAAGTCCTTTCTCTGTTTCGTGATAACACGTTGCACTTATATATGTCTTTTTCTGTCTCCTAAGTCCCTGTTGATTTGTACCACTTTCATAGTATTCCCAGATGATGTTCGATGACCTTGACAGTTGTGAGGAGTACGGGTCAGGTGTTCTGTTGAACGTCTCTCCGTTTGAGTTTGTTTGTCTGATGCTTTCTCATGATCAGGAGTGAAATGTTTTGCACTCTCTTCTGTAGCGGCCCAGGCTCTGAGCCCCTGTGTTGCTCAGATTTCTGGGTCCTCTGTTTTCTTACCTCATGCCCTTGTCTGCTTGGTAACCCAGATACCTATTTTTTTTTTAATGTTCATCTTTTTTTGAGAGAGAGACAGAGACAGAAGACAGAATGTGGGTGGGGGAGGAGCAGAGAGAGGGGGAGACAGAATCGGAAGTAGGCTCCAGGCTCCGAGCTGTCAGCATAGAGCCCAACGCAGGGCTTGAACCCACGAACTGTGAGATCATGACCTGAGCTGAAGTCAGATGCTTAACCGACCGAGCCACCCAGGTGTCCCATTGTTTTATTTACTTACATTTTTATAGGACATGTGCAAAGCTGCCACCGAGTCCGTGCCCTGCAGCCCCAGCCCCCTCCCAGGCGAGATCCGCCGAGGCACCTCTAGCGGTGAGTCCCACCTACCCATGGTTCCTTTCCCTCAGTCACACGCTTCAGCTATAAAGGGGATGCAGCAGGAACCTGCAGGGGTGAAGCAGAGCCGTCTGACGTTGTCCTAGGAGACTAAGGGCCTGGGCAGTGAGCGGCCCTACGTCCAGCCGATTTTCATCGGTGGTCGTTCTGCTCCATAAGGTCACTGCGAACCCTGAATTAGCGACTGGGGAGTCCCTGCTCCTAGAGGAGATACAAAAGTGAGGTTCCTGGAAGCCGTTAGTCACAACGTTTTTGTCAACTGATTGATAAAAGACCTTATTTTCTGTTCAATTTTTTTTTTAATGTTTTATTTATTTCTGTGAGAGAGAGAGATAGAGAGAGACAGCGTGAACAGGGGAGGGTCAGAGAGAGAGGGAGACACAATTCGAAATAGGCTCCAGGCTCTGAGCTGGCTGTCAGCACAGAGCCTGATGCGGGGCTCGAACCCATGAACTGTGAGGTCATGACCTGAGCCGAAGTCGGCCGCTTAACGGATTGAGCCACCCAGGCGCCCCTGTGTATTTCTGTTTAAAGACCTTTTATTTGTTATACGTTGTTGATATGTTACCGTCAAGCTCACAGCCGACAGCACTGTGACTCTTGCCTGGACGAAGCTAATCTAACAACTGTATTTTCTCTGTAAGGCGCATCGCCTGGGAATACAAGAAAGCACTTTGTCACCGCGCTTGGGGGCCATTTTAAACAGCAAAATCACTATCCAAAAGCACAAAGGTGTCAAAAAGGGACACGAAATAGACCGCGAGAAGGTTACTTGTTTACTGTGGGTGCTGGAGGCAGAGAGTCCCCTTGTTTGACTTCCGTTGGAGTGCGTGTGGGGGTGACTCGAGGGTCTCCCTGTTCAGCGCGTGGCTGTGAATGGCCGCAAAGGCACCACGAGTACTAGTCTGGGGGTTACAGATAAGTTATCGCGAATAGGCGGATTTGCAAATAGGGAATCCATGAATGCTGAGCATGGTATTTATACGTTTGTTTTTCTAGCAGTAGAATATTTTTAAAGAAAAATAAACATTAGAAATTTAAAATGCAAACTAGCTCACCAAGCCCAAAATTGGTTTAAAACACAAACTTTTATTTCTCATGATTTTATGACATGGCCGGTCCCTTCTGCTCCGGGTCAGCTCAGTTTATCTCAGAGGTCACCTGGCAGTTTGGCCGAGGCTAGGTGATCTAGGATGGCCTCACTCACATGTCTGTGGTTGGCTTGATGTCATCTGGGCCAACAAAGGTGACTTGGCCACATGTCTCTCATTTTACAGCAGGCTAGCCCGGGCTTGTCCCCGCAGTGCTGATTGCAGGGCTCCCCAGCATACCATAAGGGGCCTGACCCCAGCTCGCAGGGCGTCTCTTAAGCTTCTGCCTGTATGACACTTGCTCTTGTCCCATTGGCCAAAGCCAGTCACGTGGCCTAGCACAGAAGCAGCGTGGTCAGTGCCTACCCAAAGGCATGGACGGAGGGAGGTTGAGAAAATTGGTGTTCTTTTCTGCAAGGGTCTTCCTCGACTTACACACAGGAAAGGGTTCCTGCCATAGAGGTACAGCCGCATCACTTTCCACAAGTGCAACCATCCTGTAGTCAGCGGCATCCAAATCCAGGGACCAAAACATGACCAGCATCCTGCCCCCTCTCCAGGGTACCCCTGACCCCGATTTCTTTTCTTTTCTTTTTTTTCTTAAATTTTTTTGTTTATTTATTTTTTTTAGAGAGAGAGAGAGAAAGACAGAGCATGAGCACGGGAAGGGCAGAGAGAGAGAGGGAAACACAGAATCCAAAGCAGGCTCCAGGCCCTGAGCTGTCAGCACAGAGCCTGACACGGGGCTTGAACTCACAAATCTTGAGATCATGACCTGAGCTGAAGTTGGATGCCCAACCAACTGAGCCACCCAGGCGCCCCTCTTTTTTTTTTTTTTTTAAGTTATTTGTTTTGAGAGAGACAGAGACAGTGTGAGTAGGGGAGGGGCAGAGAGAGAGGAAGAGAGAGAGTCCCAAGCAGGCTTTGCACTGCCAGCACAGAGCCTGACACGGGGTCCGAACCCATAGAACTGTGAGGTCATGACCTGAGCCAAAACCAAGAGCCAGATACTTAACTCACTGAACCAGGTGACCCTTATTACTCTGCTGTCTAACAGCATTGATGATCTACTTTTGTTAGTCTTTTTGCTAGTCTTTCAAGTGTGCATAAATGAAATCAGAGAGTATGTTATTTTTATACCCTTTTGAAGGTTTTAGTGTAAAACAGATTAAAAAAATTAAAATTTTGGGTTCCTGGGTGGCTCAGTCGGTTGCATCCGTCTTTGGCTCAGGTCATGATCTCATGTTCGAGTTCAAGCCCCACGTCGGGTTCTGTGCTGACAGCTCAGAGCCTGGAGCCTGCTTTGGATTCTGTGTCTGCCTCTCTCTGCTGCTCTCCTGCTCATGCTGTCTCTCTCTGTCTAAAATAAACATTAAAAAAGTTAATAAAATAAAAAATTAAAACTAACAAAAATACTCACGGAGAAAATAGGCAATTAGGAACAGAGGAAACAGGCAAAGAAGGAGAGGGGTGGGGAAGAATGTTCCAGAACAGCATTCCTGGTACACTCACTTCTATACACTTTATAGTATGTGTCTTTGAGTCTGCGTGTTTGTATCTGTGTGTTTCTGACATCTGACTATGGTTCAAATTCATTAGGGCAAAGATAGAGTTGTTTTTCTTCTACCCAAATGGTACTTTCCTGTCATGATGAAACATCATATGCCTTATTCCTTTTAAGGAAAGCATCTCCCTCTGAGTTATTGCCAGAGGCGGGGCCTCTCAACTGCTTACCTTTCTTTTTTTTTTTTTTTAAATGTTTTATTTCTAGGAGAGAGAGAGAGAGACAGCGTGAGCAGGGGAGGGTCAGAGAGAGAGGGAGTCACAGACTGAAACAGGCTCCAGGCTCTGAGCTGGCAGTTAGCACAGAGCCTGACGCGGGGCTCGAACCCACGAACCGCGAGATCATGACCTAAGCGAAAGTCGGACGCTTAACCGACTAAGCCACCCAGGCGCCCCTCAACTGCTTACCTTTCATAGAACATTCTGGTTATCCCAGGGCAGAGTCTGTGCAGTCAGGTGCGGTTTACAGCTGGTCAGAAAGCCACCCTGACCCGGCTTCAGAGCTGCCTGAAGAAATGTCTTGGGGAAATTGTGGAGGGGTGTATACCGGTCGTTACCAGGGGAGTGAGCAGGGCTGAAAACTGACCATTTCTTTCCGGTGGGGGACAGGGAGGAGGCCTGATTGGGAAGGGCCAAGCCCCAGACTTCAGGGTGACAGCAAGGCTCCAGTTCTTGACCGGGGTGGTGGGTATGTGGGAGTTCACTTTTTGCAAAACGGTGTCTGTGGGTTTGGTGTATTTTCCCGTACGCCATGGTTAAAATTTAAAAAACCAACAATTGTGATAGCGTATTGAGGACCATCGTGGGGACTTGAGCAGGTTTTGAGAGAGAGCACGTAGCAGAAAAAGACGACCTTTGGGGGGCAGGTAAGGTAGAATGCCAAAGTCTGAAAGCCCTTGGTGGTGGGGCTGGGGATCACTGGGACTGTGGCTTAGGCAGGGGCAGCAGGGAGACCCCCTACCCCCCTGCGGGGCCTCCCCAAGAGCTTTTGAAACCTGTGCCCTAAAACCAGCTGTACCGAAGACAAGACTTGTGTCCTTCCCATGCTGGGGTTGACCCTCTAGCACATGCTGTAGCTCCCACCTTGCCCGCTCTACACAAGACGGGCTGCCAGAGCCTGCCCTCACCCCCATCCTCCATCCCCAGAGGGAGGTTACCGCCGGCCCCCCCCCCCCCCCCCCCCCCCCCCCCCCCCCCCAGCCCTCCTGGAGCCGGACCCACCACGGCTCAGGGGTCTTGCCGAGTGACCCCCTCCAGGAGTCCCCATTTCCTCGTCTGTAAAATTGGTTTGCAGTGGATCTGTGTGGTAGGGACGTTGGGATTTTCAGTGCTAGTGTCCGTCTTTTCCAGTAGATGTTCAGGGAAGACCCGTGAAGCGCCAGAAGCTGTTACAGGCACCGGGGGCACAGAAAGACCCGGGCCTTGCCTTCTCATGGGGTTGCGTGCTCGTGGGAGAGGCCACAGCCAACATATACGTGTTACTGCTCATTGATGTTGAGCAGCAATGAGGGCTATGAAGGAGAGGCCTAGTGTAGGGTCAGGGGGTAGTGGTTGGTGGAGAGGTCCAGGAAGCTCTTTCTAAGGAGGTGCTACCTGAGAGGAGACCTGAGTGAAGAGCCGAAGCAGGCCCGTTGGTACTCCGGGAACTGCGTGCCAGGCCGAGGGAACAGCATGTGCTGTGAGGAGGGGCACACTTCTGGGGGAGGAAGATCCCCAGACCAGCTGGGCTGAAGTGGAGCCGGGAGAGGAGCTCAGAGCAGGGCTGGGTAACTGTTGGGTGAAGAGTGACAGGAACCCGTCTGGTCTAGGCCCTCAGGAAGGACCCCGAGGAGGTGGCGAAGAGCGGGCTGGCTCCTGTTTACACTGCCCGCGCCCAAGCATCCCCATCACGGCAGTGCAGCTACAGGGGAGCCCCGGGTACCCCTTCCCCATGCAGTCCCAAGGCTTGCCTTCTGTGTCCTGGCCTCTGTCCCAGGCACGACGGGACTCTCCCTTCTCCTCCCTGCAGCTGCCTCTCGAATGATCGCCAACAGCCTGAACCGCGACTCCCCACCCGGCACTCCCCCGAGGCGGCCGGACACCAGCGCCTCCAAGATCTCGGTCACCGTGTCCAACAAGATGGCAGCAAAGAGCGCCAAGGCAGCCGGTGAGGGGCTAGGGCAGACGGTGGGAGGAGCTGGGCGTGAGCGTGGGTTGGCAGATGGTACTTGGGGATCACGTTCCAAACGTCACAGGGTGCTTTGAAGGCTCAGGGTGTCCAAAGCGTTCAGGTGTGGTCAAGCCCAGCACCTCGCTGGGCCTTGCTGTGGAAGGGGGACAGTGGGAAGCACTGGACACGGTGTACTTAACAGCACAGGGGCACTGTGCTTCTCAGCGGTCTGTTTGGTCGTTTTAAATTTTTTATTTTATTTCGTTACAGAAAGAATGGCTATTACCCTCTTTAAAAAAAAAAAAACGCTTATTTATTTATTTTGAGAGAGAGAACAAGTGGGGAAGGGACAGAAAGAGAGGAAGAGAGAATCCCAGGCAAGCTCTGTGTTCTCAGCACGGAGCCCGACGCGGGCTCAGTCTCACAAATTGTGAGAGCCTGACCTGAGCTGAAACCGAGTCGGACGCTTAACCCACTGAGCCACCCAGGCGCCCCCGACGTCACCCTCTTAACGAAGTCTTAAGAGTACTGTACAGCGCTGTGGACTATAGGTAGCTCAGTGTTGTTGTTATGTTTTTTTGTTTTTGTAAGTATATTCTTTTTATGAAATAATTTATTTATTATTTTAATTTACATCCAAGTTAGTAAGCACATAGTGCCACAATGATTTCCTTAATGCCCTTCACCCATTTAGCCCATCCCCCCTCCCACAACCCCTATAGCAGCCTTCTGTTTGTTCTCTATATTTAAATCTCTTATGTTTCGTCCCCCTCCCTGTTTTTATATTATTTTTGCTTCCCTTCCCTTATGTTCATCTGTTTTGTATCTTAAAGTCATCATATAAGTGAAGTCACATGTTATTTGTCTTTCTCTGATTAATTTCGCTTAGCATAATACTCTCTAGTTCCATCCACATAGTTGCAAATGGCAAGATTTCATTGTTTTTGATGGCCGGTAATACTCCACTGTATATATACACCACGTCTTCTTGATCCATTCATCCGTCGATGGCCATTTGGGCTCTTTCCATACTTTAGCTATTGCCGATAGCACTGCTGTAAACGTTGGGGTGTGTGTGCCCCTTTGAAACAGCACACCTGTATCCCCTAGATAGATAGATAGTAGTGCAGTTGCTGGGTCACAGGGGAGTTCTCTTTTTACTNAGAGAAGTGTCTATTCATGTCTTCTACCCATTTCTTCACTGGATTATTTGTTTTTTGGGTGTGGAGTTTGGTGAGTTCCTTATAGATTTTGGATACTAGCCCTTTATCTGATATGTCATTTGTAACTATCTTTTCCCATTCCATTGGTTGCCTTTTAGTTTTTTTTTTTATTTATGTTTTATTTATTTCTAGGAGAGAGAGAGACAGCGTGAGCAGGGAAGGGTCAGAGAGAGAGGGAGTCACAGACTGAAAGAGGCTCCAGGCTCTGAGCTGGCAGTCAGCACAGAGCCCGACGCGGGGCTCGAACCCACGAACCGCGAGATCATGACCTAAACGAAAGTCGGACGCTCAACTGACTAAGCCACCTAGGCGCCCCTGGGCTCGGTCTTTTTTAACAGATGTTCACCGAGGCCCGCACTGGTGCCTGGCCCTGTGCTTGATGCAGGGGTCAGAGGTCAGGAAGCTACCATTTCCTCTCAGCAGCCAGAAGGATCCTTTCAAGCTTTCAACCTGACCCTTTCACACTCAGCTAGAACTTTCCAGGGCTTCCCATGGTCCCAGTAATAAAGTCATCTTCCCACGTGGCCTCACAGGCCCTGCGTAATGTGAATCCCCGTCTCTCCCCCTGGTGCCCTTCCTCGGTCCCTGCCAGGCTTCTTCCTGTCGTGCTGTCCCTGCCCCTGTGCTCCCTTCTGCCAGCACACTCTTGCTTCGCAGACCTTTATGCTGGGCCTCTGCTCCTCTTCCAGGCCTCAGCTTGAAGTCTGGGAATGGGACCCTGGCCTTCAGGCTTGCAAGCCCTCCTTCCATCTGCCCCACTGTCCTGCCTTTGTTGGACCCACCTCCACAGCAAAGATCTTGGCACAAGTGGAAACTGAGGCCCAGGGAAGGGGCTTTGTTATTCTGATGCCCAGCCCCTTCGCGCCCTGTCCATCTCCATTGCACGTGTTCCCGTTTGGCCACGTGTGTTTAGGAGTGTTTCATCTCCTTCTCTGGCTTTTTTACTTTTTACTTTTTGAGGAGGGAGGGGCAGAGGTTCCCAAGTAGGCTCCGTGCTGATAGCCCAGAGCCTGACGCGGGGCTCGAACTCACGATCCATGAGATCATGACCTGAGCCGAAGTCAAATGCTTAACCAACTGAGTCACCCAGGCGCCCTTCTGGCCTTTTTGATTTGTGTGTCATGAGTAAGAAAGTTGAAATTAATTTCCGAAGTATTGAAAAAGCGGTGAGCCTGGGAGTGACTCGCAAGTGTGTTGAGGGGATTTTGTTTCTCTAACTGAGGTATAATTTACTTAGGCCCGATACACAGATTGCAAGTATATGGCTTGGTTCGTTTTTAAAAAACGATTACACCCATGAAACCGTTACTTAGCTGGAGCTCTCAAACTTTTCCAGCACCCAGAGTTTCCCCTTCTGAGGGGATTCTGGCTGGGCTGGGAGGTCCGCCTGCTCGGGGCAGGGACGGAGGCCGAGAGCCTGGGAGGCCCACCACAGCGTGGGGATTCTGAGCGCCGTCGGCAGCCCTCTTGTGCCCAGGCCTCGGAAGTTCTTGGTGGCTCAGAGTCAGTGGTGATGGGGTGATTGGGAAGAGGGGATCGCGGTCGTTTGAACATACAGAGATAAAGGGCACATTTGTGCCCTTTGCCAGGTGTCTGGCCCCCACCCCAGGAGAACGTTCCATCCCAGCGATGCTCACTACCCCCTCCTCCCCAGCAGCCCTGGCCCGCCGTGAGGAGCAGAGCCTGGCAGTTCCCACCAAGCGGCGCCGGGTCACGGCCGAGATGGAGGGGAAATACATCATCAACATGCCCAAAGGCACCACCCCCCGGACCCGTAAGATCCTGGAGCAGCAGCAGGCAGCGAAAGGTACTGGGCTGGCCGGGGCACACGCTTTGCTGTGGAGCCTGCCTCTTCCTTTCGCTGCTTTGTGCGGGGTTTGCCATGCCCTATAGGCATCGGCCAAGAAGCGGGCTCTAATGAGATCCAGTGGACCGAGGGGACGGCGAGGGTGGCCATAGAGGAGGAGGGCACGGCACCACCTCCGCCCCCGCCTCCTGCAGTTAGTGTAGCAGGCGGCCTGGCCCCTCTTCCCCAAGGGGCAGGGGCTTGGACTCCGTGATGACCTGCCTGTAAAGTGGTGGCTGTGTCTGGCTGAGGGCAGGTGCCCAGAATGGTGGGAACCGTCATTATGAGCCAGAGGAGTCTGGTTGAAGTTCAGCCTGTAGCTGGGGTTTGCATCTGGTAGCGCGGAGATGGTCTTCCTCACAGTGTTCCTTTTAGACTGTTGCGTACATTCCTGTGGGGAAAACGTCCATATGGTGCAGAAGAGTATACAGTATCAACTCCTTCTTTCCCTCCCTCTTGTGTCATTAACCTTTCCAGACTGTAACCTGTGGACTTGGGTGCGTGTGTTTGTGTGTAAGCACAGAGAGGTGTTTCTTTCTTTTTCAACACAAATAGCATCACCCTGTAGTTACTGTTCTAGAACTTTTTTATTGAGATCTTTTCACATGAATACATGTGGATCTGCTTCATCCTTTTTTAGAAATGTTAATGTTAATTTATTTTTGAGAGGGAGGGAGAGTGTGCAAGTGAAGAAGGGGGCAGAGAAAGAGGGAGATCCAGAATCCGAAGCAGGCTCCGGGCTCTGAGCTGTCAGCACAGAGCCCAACGTGGGGCTCGAACTCAGGGACCTTGAGATCATGACCTGAGCTGAAGTCAGACGCTTAACTGAGCCACCCAGGTGCCCCTCTGCTGCGTTCTTTTTAACAGTCATTTAAATTGAATGTTTCCATCGTATTTATATTTATATATCATGATTTAGTAAACATTCTCCCATTGATGGTCACTGAGGTTGTTATTTCAGGAGAGGGCTTATCCCCGGTCAGCGGACTCTTAGAGGCCCATGACCCAGAACAGTGAAGGGAACAAGTAGGGATTCAGAACTCTTCCCGCACACGCACTTCACAAAACTGTGCAAAGTTTCCAGGAGCCCAACGGTCAATTTTAGTGGATCTTTCCCACGTTTGGCACTAGCCACAACCGTGTGGCTCAGGTCCGTGCCAGCTGGTACGCAGACACGGAGCCTGTGCCTGTCTGGACTGGGGCGGCCTGGGCCTGGGCCAGCCCCGTCTCCCCTCCCTCGTCTGCACGATGCACGAGGCTCGGCCGGCCCGGGCTCCACGCGTGCGTCAGCTGCTGCAGGCTGAGGGCTCACTTCCCTCCAGGTCTCCACAGGACGTCCGTGTTTGACCGCCTCGGCGCTGAGACCAAGGCAGACACAACGACAGGGAATAAAGTGAGTTGGAAACTGGGAAGCCACTTGGGGTTCTCTGATTCTTATTTTCCTGCGGGCATTGATCCCACATCCTACCCCTTGTACTCCCTGGGCCGCCTCCCCTGCCTTAACGGTCTCTGCTCCATTCTGTGCACCTCGACAACTGTCCTGATTTCCTGCCCCTGGGGGTCTGGCCAGCTTCTGGATGCTGCCCACTGCCATGTCCCAGACTGGCCCAGCATCTTCCTCCAGAGTGACTCCCTCCCAGGCCCTGTCTCAGGGACGCCCCAGCGCCCCCATTCCGGGCGGGCTCTAGTGATGGCTCCGTCTGTCTTCCCTTCTCTGCGACCTCCCCTGCCCGGATAGGGCAGTGGCCTCCTAACTGGTCTGCAGCTCCAGCAACCCCCCTTCTGCCCCTCCCCCCATAGCAGCAGTGAGTGCCACCCCCCACCAGATGCTTTTCACTGTGGGCGGGACAAACACCACCCTCCTTGCCTTGGCCTGCAGTCCCGCGAGCCCCAGGGACGGTGCGTGCTAGGAGCACACGGCCTGAGCCCTGCCCGGCGTGACCCGAGCTCTGCTGCCACCTAAGCTCCTGCTACCTCGGTTTTCTTACCTCTATAGTACGCACCTCACCGGGTGGCTGCGAGGATTAAGTGAGGTACACCTGCACGGGGCTGGGGGTGTCTGGCGCGTGGCAGGCACCCTTTAAGTGTCACCTTCGATGAGCTGTGCCAGAGCTCCCCAGCTGCGTTCCCTGCCCCTCCAGCCCTCCCTCACCAGGGCTGCCCAACCTCCTTACTTCCTAGAGTCTTACCACAAGCCGGATAATAACATTCAGCGTCGTGTGGCTTGAAGATGGAGCCGCGTAAAGAGCTCGGCACAGAGCAAGTGCTCCATCAGTATGATGCTTATTCCTGCCTTGGGGACTTAGCCCTCGCTCTTTTCTCTGCTGAGTCAACCCTGAGGGCCTGGCTTAGACATCATACCTCGGAGAAGTGTCCCTGAACCGCAAGAAGTGTCCCCGTCTCTGCCCTCCTGTGCTCCCGTGTCTTCCAGAGAACACACCACTGTCGTAATCAGGGAGTTGTTTGTGTCCTTTCTGATGCCAGGTCTGTCTTTCCCATTGGACTGTGAGCCCCCTGAGGGCAGGGCCAAGGCTGTGCTTGGTCACCGCTGTGTCCCCAGTGCCCCCCAGCGTGGAGCCAGGGACAGTCGGGACTCAGGAAATGTCTGTGGAGTGAATGGCCACATTTCCCTCCTCTCACGGTCCCTGCGGACCTCTGCCAGTGGCCGTCTCTCTGTGTGGCGCACACCCTCCCCGCCCCACTTCTTTATTAGACCCACCTGCCATTCCCTTCAGATCTCATCTCCGAGGTCTCTTGTCCAGGGAGCCTCTCCTGAAGGTCAGGAGTCTCCTTGGGGCCCTGCCAGGTCCGCGAGCATCCAATCATGGCTCTCAGCACCGCGTAGGGTGTCACCATGTCCCCGATGGGTGTTTCTCCCAGTGAGGCCAGGCGCAGATGGGGCAGCTCTCTGAGCATGCGCGTCCAGTGACTACCTGGCTCACCTGTCCCGTCTCTGACCCCTGCAGCCCACAGGAGTCTTCAGCCGCCTGGGGGCCACCCCAGAGATGGACGAGGATCTGGCTTGGGACAGCGACAATGACAGCAGCAGCTCTGTCCTACAGTATGCTGGGGTCTTGAAGAAGCTGGGCCGGAGCCCAGCCAAGCCCAGTCCCCAGCCAGCACTGACTGTCAAAGCTAAGGCCACAAGCTCGGCTGCAACGGCTGCCACCCCGACAGTGCGGCGCCCGGCCCTTTCCTCACGCCCTGCGCTCGAGAGGAAGCCAGAGTCCCTGTGCAAAGGCGGCATCATCCAGAGACTGGGCAAAGCTGCCCTTGTGCCGGAGGCCCAGGACAGCCGGGTCACGAGCACCAAGAGTAAGTCCTTGGCCGAGGTCAAGGTCACCATTAAGAGGACTCTGGTGGGGCCCCGGGGGAGCAGCTCCAGTGAGGGCCTGAGTGCCCGGATGGACCATGCGGGCACAGTGAGCGTGTTCAAAAGACTGGGCCGCAGGACCTTCTAGCCTCCGGGCGGGGCGCAGGCCCCTGTCCAGGCTCCTGGGCCCAGCAGAGGCTCCAGCCAGGGCGCGCCCAGCCCTCTGCCGGCTTCTGGATGACACTGCTGGGCTCCCTCAGGCACTGGAGCCGGCCCGAGCTTTCTGGGGACTCACCCCGGTTTTTTGAGTCCGAGATGGTCGTCGTGGCCTGGCCTTGTCGCTCTGGTCTTTCCATTCTTTCACGTCCTCTGTCCTCTCCTCTCTGTGGCCTTGGCAGGGCCCACATCTCTACCTCTCCCAGAGCCAAGTGCCCTTTTCCCTCCACACCCCCCCCTTCCCCCCATCTCTCAGCAGCATCTGCTGCCTCAGCCCCCCGACTTGCCAGCCTTCTGGTCCCCCAGAGTGGGCGTCACCCAGAAGGGCTCCCTTTTCCCCACACCTTCCCGCCTTCCCCTCGCCCCTCTGCCCCATCCCCCTGCTACTTTAACTTCTCGGTCTCTCCCTGTCTTCACGCTGTTCATTTCTCTTCTGTTTTCTGTCCCTGTGGCAAGGCCCGACGGTGCGCTGCGTCCTGCCTGGCCCTCCTGCGCCTCCGGCCTCCCAGCGGCCCCGTCGGCGGTGGCGTCGAGCCTGTAGAGACTGTTAGCTGCCCTGGCTCCCAGCCCCTGGGCTGCAGCGGGGCGCCTCTGTTTTCCAGCCCTGGGCGTCTTTTTCTCTGAAAGCCCGTAGCGGGTGGCGGGCAAGGGTCACCGAGAAGGGAGGCCAGTGCCGAGAGAGAAGAAAACAGCTGTTTTAATATATTTTTGTGGCTTTCAAACTGTTTCCCTCCCCTCCTTCAGGGTGAGTCACAGGGTGGTTTTCCACACAAAGCACAGTGTGGGTGGGGGTGCCAGCCAGGGGTTGGGCTCTGTCTCTGAAGGTCAAGGCTCCATGCGGGCCACATCTATGCTACAGGCCCCCAGTCGAAAAGAGTAATGGTCACTGTCCCCGTTTCAGTTGGACTTCCTCTCCCCCTCAGCCCACTGAGGTGGTCCTGCCTGTGTCCCCCCTAATGTATTTCATCTGTGTCTGTCACTCTGCCTGGTGGCAGCTTTCCAGGCTGCAGGCTCTCTCGCGAGGCACCGGGCTCCTGCCGATCTGACCACACGCCTGTTCACTGCTGCACAGCCCCTGCCCTGTGCCAGGCCCGTTTGAGGAGCTAGGGATCCAGCGCAGGCAAGGCAGGCAAGCCCCTCAGCCAGGGAGATGGCGGCAGAGTGATCGTGCTGTCGGAAGAATGGGAGGGAGGAGCTGAGGCGACAGGGGCCTCTTCAGAAGTTGGGGGTAAGAAGGCCTTTTAAGAGGAGGTGAGGGAAGGGCTGAGCCAAGAAGACCAGAAGGTGGGCGGGGACCCAATGACCATGATTCACGGTGAGGAACTGCACGTCTTCCCTAAGCCCTGAGAAGTTTGGGACAGTGAAGCTGGCAAGCGATGGTGTGCGTTGCCTTTTGTGAAGATGGCGTGGGCCCCCGTGAGGAGGCAGCCATGCAGGAGCCGGGGCAGGAAAGGAAGGGGTGTGGGGGGAGGCGTGGAGAGGAGGGGGGAGTGGGCTTCGGTGGGGCAGCGCGGCACGGGTGGACGGGAAGCTGGGGCACGGCGGGCAGGGGTCACCTAGGCGCCAGAGCATCTAGCCAGAGGTGCTGTTTGTGGAAACCAGGAGGCTGGGGACGGAGGGCGCTTGGCCGCTGGGCCTTTGGGGGGCCACCCGGGCCGGAGGTCCGCAGCTTCGCGGAGCACTCAAAAGACACTGTGTTCCAAACCAAGGGCCTGGCGACACCAGCCTGAAGGGAGCGTAGAGGCAGGAGAGGGTCCAGATGGGAATGGGAGACCAGGACTGACAGGGTTGGCAGGGAGTGGTCTGGGGGTCAGGAGGGTGAGTTAGACCTCACCCTTTTTCTTCTTTTAATTGTGGTAAAATAAACGTAAACTTGGCCATCTGACCCGTCTTCAAGTGAGCGTCCTGTCCAGTGGCATTAGGTACATTCACACTGTCCTATAACCATCGCCACCATCGTCCCCACATCTGTCATCTTCCTGAGCTGATTGTCTGTTCGTAGTGTTTCAGTTGTGTCGTGTCGGGGGGCTGCTGTGTGTTGGGCAGAGTGCCAAGCACGGGGCTAGGTGTGAAGGGCGGGGCTTCGGCGTGAAGGACAGCGGTAGGGAGGGCCGAGGCTGGACCGTGTTGGGGGGACTGCGTGAGGTCAGACCTCGGAAGGACAGCAGCCGTTGGCAGTGGTGGTTCCGGTGGCACCACGGGGAGGGGCTCATGCCACGGGGAGCAGCTCATCCCTGCTGCTCTTCCACTCTTGGGGCTTCCCCCCGCAGTCATTTCCTCTGGTTCCACCTCATGGAGAATTCTAGCAACTGCCAGGGTTCAGAGGAAAAGTTCCGGTTGCTGTTTAAGAGCACTGGGTAATTTCCTGGTGCACAGTGATGTAAGAAACACGCATCGCTCGCTTACCCACGAAAGGCTCACCTGCGCGAGGGTGGCCGCGTCACCGTGGCTCTTCATGGAGGCGCAGAGGGGAGGACGCTGCCCCACGTCTCACCCAGCTGGCGAGTGGCAGGTCAGGGAGCCCAGCAGGAGTCTCGGCCCTTACACCATACCTTGTACTGTCTGATTGCGGGTTTGAAATGAGGACCTTTTGGAAGGAGGGGGGGCCTGGGATAGTGGTTTTGGATTTTCTAGAGTTATTCACGTGTACGTGTTCCCTCCACCCCATCATCTTGTTGTGGGGAGCGTTTGCAGCTTTGGGTGCTTGGCCCTTGAGCGTCCTGCCCCCTCCCGCTGCCGTGTGCTGGGGGTGGGGGCAGACCAGACGCCTCCTGTGCCTCCCAGCTGCTCTGAAGCTACGGCGTCCCCGCCATATGATTTGGTGCTTCCCCCAAACCAGCCCCAACACCTGTGACCCACAGCAGGGTGTCATTTTCCCTCTGGTTCTGTCAAGTGCTTTTGAGTAGAATGCGTTCATTCACGTGGGTCAAGATACAAAAGATTGTACGGGGAGAAGTTTTCTTCCTGCGTCTCCTTCTCAGAGGCCACCAGGATCTCCTGTATCTTGAATCCTTCCAGGGCTATGTTTATGTGTGTGTGCTTTGCACGTGCACACGCACACTCCTACATGCATACAGGCAGAGGAACATATATGTATACGTATGCAGGCACAGGCACATATTTATGGCCTAATTTACTTCACCGGCCCATTTTGGAAAGGGAATTTGGGTTGTTTCCAGTCTCTCACCAGCGTAAGCAGTGCTGCATTGGGTAAGCTTGTCCCGTGCGGAGTCAGCTCAGGGGTGATTATGAAGGATCCCCGTTATTATCACTTCAGTGCAATTACTGATAATTGGCTCAGTAGGAAATCTGAACCAGACTCCCTCCCCCATCCCCAAGATTATTGTCATTCCTCAGGTGACTTGTTCGTACACTCGTCGCCCCATTCTGGAAAGGAATGGAGAGCCACTGGACTCTTCTGGTCGGAGACCACTGGAGGAAGCAGGTCAGGGAACGTTGAGACCGAACACTGACCACACGTTTGTGCCAGAAAGTACTAAATACGGGCTTGGCTAAGGTCACAGGCTTCCCAAGTCCTTAGGGAAATGGCAGCAGCATGGAGGTCAGGGACTTGCCATTCCCATCCCATAAACAGATTCCCACGGAGGTGCAGTGAACGTGGGGCTCACGCTAAGTCCTAGAGCCAGATCCCAGCCAGTCCGGGTGGAGGGATCGGTTTGGATGGTGAGCTTGGGATGGGGTGACCTTCTGAGCTCACACCAGTCGATGTAAAAGCAAGATGGGAACCTGTAGCACCTGTGGCGGGCAGCCAGAGTTCAGACAGCACCACTGCCGCTTCCTTCAGCGTCTGAGCCCGGTGCCACCCGGACGGGCCAGGCGTTAGGCTGTGGCGGCCTTGCTGCCCCCTCTCCCTCCTCTGGGCACCTGAGCCGACTTAGATCGGTGAGCGCGACTTACTAGACACCTCTGCCTTTGAAGGCCTGCTGTTTCCCTACCCAGAACTTCACCTGCTTTGTGAACTCCAGGCCTCCGCAAAAGCCATCGAACAGGCAAAGCCTGACCCAGCTGGCACGTGGCCGGGCCAGGTCCGCTGTCAGGAAGCTGACCAGGAGCCTCGCCTTTTTAAGTTTGTTTTTAAGACTTTATTTTTTAGAACAGACTTTATTTTTTTAATAAAAAATGTTTACATTTATTTATTTATTTATTTTGAGAGCGAGCAAGAGAGCATGCACAAGCAGGGGAGGGGCAGCGAAAGAGGGAGGGAGAGAATCCCAAGCAGGCTCCACGCTGTCAGTGCAGAGCCCCACGTATGGCTCAATCCTGTGAACCATGAGATCGTGACCTGAGCTGACCTCAAGAGTTGGGTGCTCAGCCGACTGCCACCCAAGTCCCCCAACAGACTTTACTTTTTAGAATACTTTTAGACTTGAAGAAAAACTGAGAAGTGCCCTAATGCGGGCAGACTTCCCAGATGCCCCACCTCCAATGGCCCCTATTATGAACATCTTACATTAGCAAGATTTGTGTGTTACAGTGGATTCCTGACACATGGGTATTCAATAAAGCCCATAGTTCTTCACGTTTCCTTAGCTTCTTCCTTAGGTTTAATACCTTTTTCTGTTCCAGGATAGCATATTACGATTATGTTGTCAAACACTTGTGTTGACAAATAGGGAATTGTGATGCTTCCTCAAGGCCCCTTCCGGTTGTGACAGCTTTTTTCTTTTTTAATAGCATTTATTCAGTTTTTGAGAGACAGAGAGTGAGTGGGGAGGGGCAGAGAGAGAGGGAGACATGGAATCCGAAACAGGCTCTGAGCCATCAGCACAGAGCCCGATGTGGGGCTTGAACCCACAAACCGTGAGATCATGACCTGAGCTGAAGTCGAATGCTTAACCAACTTAGCCACCCAGGCGCCCCTGGTTGTGACAGTTTTTGATGACCTTGATGGTTTTGAAGAAGACTGGGCAGGTCTCTTAGAGACAGTCCCTCAGTTGGGATTTGTCATTCACTGTGAGACCAGGGTCATGTGCTTTTCAGAGAAACAGTGCCGTTTTATCACGTCGTATCTCGGGTATATGCAGGTTATGTTTAACATTGGGCACCTGGCTTCATTACCTTCTGTTTACCAGCTTTCTGCACTGTCAAGTTGCTTTCTCCCTTTCCGTATTGAACTTTTTGAAAGGAAGTCAGTCTGCGCAGCCCACACCTAAGGAGCACAGGGCTTAGGCTTCACTGCCTTGAGGGCAAAGTACTGACATACATTAGAAATAAAAGTGGGAGGGCGCCTGGGTGGCTCGGTCTGTTGAGCGTCCGACTTCGGCTCAGGTCATGATCTCACAGTTCGTGAGTTCAGGCCCCACATCAGGCCCTGTGCTGTCGGCGCAGAGCCCACTTCAGATCCCCTGTCGCCCGCCCCCCCGCCCTTGCCCTGCTTGCGCTCTTTCAAAAATAAAAAAAAATTTTAAAAAATCTGGGAATTCTTCTGCAAGGAAGATGTGTCTCTTTTCTCTATTAACTTATTCATTCGTTTATTTTCATCAATATGGACTCTTGGGTATTTATTTTATACTTTGGGCTATATAATCCAATACTACTTGAATTATTTAGTGGTTCACCTTATTCTAGCTTTGGCATTTGGGGACTCTTCAAGTTGGCTCCTGTGTCCTTTAACATACTTCCATTATTGTGTGATGGGTATTTCTGTTTTTGTTTATTCTTAGTATTCCTTACTTTCTGGCCCTCCAGATCCTCAGGGCTGATCTTGCAGGCTTCCTACCATGGTCCTAGAAGTCTGCCATTTCTCCAAGGAGCCCCAGAATATTTCACTTAGAATGGTAACTGGGAATCGACACCATGTACTCCTTGCCACTGGGGGGACACCTCCTTTTTAAAAAGCGTAATCTTGGGGTGCCTGGGTGGCTCAGTCAGTTGGGCGTCCAACTTGGGCTTGGGTCATGATCTCGCGGTTCGTGGGCCCGAGCCCCACGTGGGGCTCTGTGCTGGCAGCTAGCTCAGAGCCTGGAGTCTGCTTCAGATTCTGTGTCTCCCTCTCTCTCTGACCCTCCCCTGCTCATGCTGTCTCTCTCTCTCAGAAATAAATAAAAAACATAAAAAAAATTTTTTTACTAACGTAATCTTATATGGAACTCAAATATATAAAACACCTTTAGAATAGGAAAGTGATAAATGTTTATTTGGGACCCATTCACACAAACAGTAACAAATTCAGAGACACAAAAGGATAGGTACCAGAAGACTGTTTGGTGCCCTGTAGACTGGCAAAAAAATGTAGTCTCCAGGGTTGAGAAAGATTTGGAGTACTGGGAATATGGTACACTGCTCTTCAGGTGGAAGCTGGGATTGACCATTTGGGAAAATAATTTTGTAGGCTGTTGTATAAGTGAAGGTATTATACTTCCCAACCCAGCAACGACCGTTCTGGAGACACTTAACACATATGTACAGAGACATGGATAAGAATGT